GTGGCTGGCGCCTTAGCTAGTTGAGCTATAGGCGCCAAGCCAGGACTGTACATTTCTACAAAGAACTTTAAACTGCATTCAGTTGTGTTACTATTAGTGACAATATTAGCACATTTATTTTGAAATTATTAAACATATACCATAGAATAAATCGAATATTTCTTTATGTTAATATCTTTAGGAATCAGTTTTAGTATAGGGAAAGAGATATAAACATGAAAACAAAGAAGTCAATAAAAACTGTTACCTAAATGTTGAAATGGGCACACTGACATGAAATGATGATTTACTTTAATTTCTAAAAACACATAATTTTTAGCTCTGACCTGTAGTATGGACTAGAAGTAAGGGACATCTCAGTAGCAATGAAAGTCCATCCAAATTGTGGTCCCTAAATACCAATTCTACTAATAGAAACCAGGTTCTATAGAAAAATACGTGAGGCAAGAAACAGTTAAGATGACCCAGAATATCTTATTGACCAGAAAGCAAGGAAGCTACGTGTTAAGTATAACTAATCTGAAAATCTGAATTCTGAACTACTCCAAATACTCTAAAACTTTTTGAGTGTCAACATGACATCACAGTGGAAAACTCTGAGTGGCTGCAGTCAAAATGCAGGTGCACAACACATAGTGTATTCAGCATCTTCCAAATTATTAAAAATATTGTACAGAATTACCTTCAGGCTATATGTATAAGCTGTACATAAAACATACTTGTGTCCTACCCTCAAGACATCCCACTGTTTATGCAAATATTCCAAAATCCTAAAAAATCCAAAATCTAAAATATTTTTGGTCTTAAGCATTTCAGGTAAGAAATACTCAACCTTTATCAAAGACTATCATTATTTAAAGGAATCTCCACTGGAGATTCTCCACTTTCATCTCCACTGGGGATGAAAATTTGAGCGTCCAAAAGGATAATAAATGGATTGGACTTAAACTAAAAAATTCATGAGTCTTACAAAACAAACAAACAAACTATATATATATATATAAATATAAAATTTTAATCTAATCAAACAGTAGAACTCTAATTACTTGTTTAAAGCCCATAGGGTGGCTAGAGAAACATTAAACACCACCTCAAGGGAAACAAGACATCTAGAATGTACGACCTTTCTATAAGACAAATAACTAGGGTTGCTTCAACAAATAAATGGCATAAAAGGGAAAAGGGGAAGAAAAATGTTAAGATTACAAAAGAGTTAAAAGCCATTTTAACTAAAGAAATACATGGACCTTGTTTGGATCTGGATTCAAACAATCCAAATGTAAGAAAAGATTTTGAGGGTGGTGCCTGTGACTCAAAGCAGTAGGGTGCCGGCCCCATACACCGGAGATGGTGGGTTTAAACCCAGCCCCGGCCAAAAACTGCAAAAAAAAAAAAAAAAAGATTTTGAGATGATGGGGACAATATGAACAAAGTCTGGATATAAAACAACATTAAGAAACTGTTAGTTTTATCAGATGTGATCATGGAATTGTTATTATATTAAAAAGTAATCCTTATCTATTAGTGACACATTACCAAATACATTGTGTTGAATTTGACTTACATTATGTTAAATTTTACTTAGTAAAATGAACATGTTTACATACAATAACATTTTGTGTCTTTATTCAAATAATGATTATGCACTCGGCAATTGAATCTAGTTTGAATTCATTTCCTTCTTGTTACGTGGAGCTACAGCGTTCTGAACTCAAGGAAAGGACTTTTGAAGGCCTTTGTTGAGTCTGAGAAGCCTGTGCTGAAAGGATTCACCCTCTCCAGTAAAGCCTGCCTGAGCTGAGGGTTCAGCAGTCACGAGCAGGCCTGCTTGTCTCTCTTCCCCTGAAAATGTCAGGCAGGAGGAGGTCACCGCCCTCCTGCCCTGAGAGCTACCCTGTGCCTGGTGAGTAGGCACTGTTAGCTGCTGCGCTCCAGGGAGTTTTATGTAGGAAATGTTCCCAGTGTGTGCTTTTTAGACATCATTATGAGGTGGCAAAGCTTGACAGCCTTATCTGAAGATCTTATTAGTGTTTTATTCATTCTTGTTTAAGAAATGCTTTGGTTGAAGAAGTCACCCAGGCCTCCTGAGTCTACAGGATGCATGAAGTCCAGGGCAGCAGCCAGCTGGGAGGTTAATGACCAGCAGAGCCCTTTCAGTAACAATGCTAAAAATGCTAATAAGATGATACAGGCTTATTGAGCACATGAGGCTCAAGCACTTTTCTAAGTGCTTTTCACGTATTGCCACACTGAATCTTCCAACAATCCTATGAGATCAGCATTCCTATAATTCTCATTTGACAGATGATGCAAGTGAGGCTCATGGAGATGAAATAACATGATTAATGACACAGAACTGCTAAGTGGTGGAGTTGGGATTTGACCAAGGAAATGGCCCTGATACCTTCTTCTGAAGGTGCTGAAAGTGGGCCTTCCTAGCTAGACAATGCTCAGATGGAGTCCCACATTTTTCTTTCTTTGGGGTTACTTACTGCATTCTCAGGATGGAAGATGTATGAGGCAGGAGAATTGTCAACGATGATTACTTTGCTCAGCTCCCGTCCAAGGCGACTCAGGTCCTTCACATAGTTCCCACGATGAAAAACACAAGACTCTCTGAAGAGCCGGGCCCGGAACACACCCCAGCGGTCAAGCAGGTCAGCCACAGGGTCTGCATACTGGAAAGGAGGTGCCACTATGAAGGCGGGATGCGGGAAAGAGCCCAGAAACCCTGACCTACTGTACTGCAGCAAGATCCAGATTACTTTTCTAAAAAGGAGATTTAATAATTGGATGTGTTGTAGGATCCCAGTTATTTTCCTCGCTGTTGTGTATGACACTCTCTCACATCCAATCCATCAGAAGTTCTTGTAAGTTTTATCTCCCCAAATACCCCAAATCCACCCACATCTCTCTATTTATATTGCCAGCGTTCTAAGTCCAGGCCTCTAATCTCTAGTCTGGGCTGGATGCATAAACCTCCTATTGAGGCTCTTTCTTCCCTTTAAGCCTCCTTTTCAGCCCATTCACCTCAAAGCTGTCAGAGTGCACTGGAAAACACATGTCTAATCACATCACTTCCCTGCTGTCTACCTGTGGCCCTTGGAGTAAGGCCTGCATTCCTCACTGCCATCTTGAACCCTGTGAGTCATGTTGGCGGCTTGGAACACGGTCAGATAGAACATTCTCTCCCCAGCATTCTGCATGAGCATCTTCCAGGTCTTGGCTTCTATTCTCACCTATCTGGAGTTTACCACCTCATGGTAATGCCCTTCCCAGAGCACACTACCACGTGGATGCTTTAATTCCTCAGCCAAGGCCAGGCTTTGTCTATCCTGTTCACCACTATACCTCCAGCACTATACAGGGTGCTTACCTCATAGCAGGGGCTCAGTAAATATCAATTTCATCACTGAATGAATTAGCCAGCTCAAATTTGTCCAGTGTGGCATGAGGCCACACTGCCCTCTTGAGGTCTTCTGGTTAGTCAGAAGAGAATAGCCCCAGCTGCCACAGCAAGGTGTCCTGCCATCTACTTAGTGTATGGGAAAGGAGCCCAGGAGCTGTATGGGAGTTTGGGTCCAGCTCACAGCTGGGGTTCATCCTGCTTGGCACTCTCTCATGGCCTGGTGAATTTCCCTCAAAGTAGGCTAAACTGAATAAAAAAATAGAAGTGTTCTTGAGAAAAAATGGTTACAAATGAAGATACCTAAAAGAGGGGGCTATACTATGAAGCAGGGCCAGGAGGTAGCAGTGGCATTTCCAAGCCAGATATATGGCTAAGCCTCTTGCACCCTGCCAAAGTGAAGGGCATAGCAGACATCGCGGGGCCTAATGACTCTGACAGAGAGCCACCTGGGGCCAGCAGTAAAATGTGCAGCAGCTCTAAGGGCAGAGCAAGTGCTGGTGCAGCTGCAGGATGCAGGCTACAAGGCTACGAGCTGCAGCCGTGATTCTAGCACAAGTTCCTGTCTCCAAGGACCTCCTGAAGGAGGCAGCCCCCAGGAGCACCTGTGTTCATACTGTATGTCAAAGTGGGGGTGACAGCTTAAGGTACTAAAGTTTTCTGCTGGTGAGGCTACCCAAGGGCCATGTGGGTAGATTGCAGGGGGCTGACTATAGATGGAAAAGATAATTTAGTTCCTTATAATCATTAACACTGGTGGTATCACACATCTCTGCAGCCTCTAGGCCTCAGGGATGAACATGAAGAATGTAAGCTTCATGAGGGGAGGGACTTAGTCTCTTCTGTTTTGTTCTGTATCCCCAGTAGCTAGTACTGAGCCTGGTACATATTTGCTAGGTGAATGAAGGAATTATGACAAGGGAGCAAATACGGAAAAGTTCTGACAGTCATCTGAGGTTCCTACAGGCCCCTCAGTGGTGGGCAAGGTCCACTGCACTAGTGACACTGCCTGGGAGTAGTACCAGAACCAAGGACTGGGGGAGTGATCACCCTTCGGCAGAACTTGTATATCAGGGAGGAAAGAGGGCAAAAAGCTGCACTTATGAGCTGATTTAGCTCAGCTAGGAAGGAGTAGCAGCATGAGAAGGGTTTAAGAGACAGATGGAGGGACAGATGGAAACAGTCCGGGAAGAGAAACTGAACAAGGATGTTTAAGCAAATGCTGGGGACAATGCCAAGGAAAAGTGTTTTCAATTTTGTCAAAGAAAAAAACAATTCTTAGTCCATTGTCACTGGTGCAATCTTCCTCTTTGTTATTTCCTTGGTTATTACTTCAGGTTCCTCAGCATCCCAGATCATTGTGAGAAGAGCCATCAAAGCTACAGATATAATTAATATCGGTACCACCTCCCTGAAAAATTACCCACTGGGAAAGAGTATGTTTTTCCTGAGGGCTTGTTATCTTTTTGGCATGCAAGAATAAGGCCCAGGATTTGTATTCCTTCTCCACTTTATGCTGTCAGGCCTGGTGAGGAGCCTGGCAGAATTGTGTGCAAGTGGGGATTCCTCTTAGCATGGTCATTATGGAGAGAGGGTCCTAACCAGAATGCTCAGGCCAACAAAGCAGTGGGAACATGCAAAGGAAGAAAAGGGGGTGTGGGTACCAGAGTACCATCCAAAGGCAGTGTCACCAACAGAGGGACGGCACTGACCCCATCAGATTCAGGGTTTGGGAGATGATCAGGGCAAGGATCTCCTGAGAGGAGCAAGGGCCTGCCCTGCCTGCCCTATACACAGCACATGTACCCCACCACACCTGCGAAGGGGGACACGAAACCATACTGGAGCCTAAGAACCTGCTAGTTTCCTTAAACAGTGGAGAGGACAAAGAAACCACTCTATGTGGTTAGAGCTAGTACAGACACTGGGTCAGAAATTCATACTAAGCTTTATGACTAAAACATGTTTGAATGATTTTATCACCATTAAGAATGATGATAATGACTGCCACCATTAATAATTATGATAGTAATGACTATCAGGAATATTTAGCATGTGATTGGGCCCATCACAGTATGCAGAACCCAGTAAGTGCTCTGTGCACACTTGCCAATTATGCGCCAAGTACTGCACATCTGTTATTCCATTTGATCCACCCCAGAAAGTAGAAGGAATTAGCCCCAATTTATAGGAGAAAAAACTGAGGTAACAGAAGTGAAGTAATTTGCCTGAGATTACATAGCACATCAGGACAGTTAGAAATTTCATTCAGCTCATGTGTACGGATGAATCTTGGACACTCATTTCTTACTTGTCTCTCCACCAAACCTGTGTAAGCTAAACCCAAGGACACAGGGACCTTTAGCATCTGGTTGCTAGTCAACACATGAAAGGTGCGCCATCCTTTCTCAGGTACGTTGGGCTGGTTTGTGATTTCCTGGTCTGTGGACAACCAGTTTCAGATGGCTGCATATGTAGCAACTTCATAGAGCATTTGTTTTAAGTGCTCCCTGTCACCATAGTAACCCAGAAGCCTTCCAGGCTGGCATCGTGCACATAGCCTGCATCCATCCCATCTGGGGTGGGAACCTGTCACCATAGAAATAGCTTCCCCTACCAAAACAAAGGACTGAATGACAGATTGGGGTGAAGTGAAGGGGCTAGGAATACCAGGCTGGGAGTTTGGGGCTGGAAAGCAGGACTCACCTTTGCCAAGCTGGCAGTAAAGAGCACACACTCAAAGAGCTGCCCCATCCTCTGGAGGAACTCATCCACATGTGGCCGCTTTAGCACATATACCTGCAAAGGCAGGAAACAGCAGGCTGGTCAGTTATGGCAGTTGCTAGGAACGGCCCAGGGCCCAAATGCCCACTGTGGGAAGAAAGGCTACAAAGGCTCCTATATGCGGGGCTATTTACTCAGATGGCACATTCCTCAGATTAGGTTCCAGGTCTGAGTTCAGTGCAAATGTCCCTCCCAAGGGGGAAGGGAAGCTGACCATGGGTCTTGAGAATTTTCAGAACCAGGGAGTAAACGGACTGTACCATGTTTGTGTGAAGTAACTCATTCATTTCACATGTGTTTCTTGGCACCTGTTGAGAGTTAGGGCCACAGTCTGGGTGTTGTCCTTTGAGAGGTCCAGGTCTGGCCTACTGCTTATCCAGGAGGTCTGGGATGCTCCAGCTGCCACTTTCTAGTCTGGATGGAACTATTGCCTTGCTAGGAAGGCCCAAGGTGGAAGTACAGGCTCAGCAAAGCTTCAGAAAGGGCCTTCCCTGTCAGCTTGCGATGCTGTCAGCTTGATACCATGAGGGTTAGTCTATTTGGGCATGGTTTAAAAACAAACACTTCAGGGGATGTGAAACCTTCCTATTGCTGGGCCCCAGAAATAAGCCCTCAGGAGGGGCCTTTAAGCAGAGTGGGGCAAAAAGCAGCATTTTCTAGAAAGGCTGGGCTCTGTGTACCCTTTTGGTTAGGCCAGGCCCGGCCATGACCGGGTAGGGCTGCAAGGAGGCCAGGCTTCAGCCCACATGCAGACTTCTGACTAGGGAGTCTGAACAAATCTGAGGAAACATGGGAGATGGGAAAGAAGGCAAAGCTGGTTAGAGAAGACAGAGGAAGTGGGAGGAGGGAGGAACTAATTCAAACTTGAATAAATTCTGTTTGAAATTAGCCACTTTACTAAAATAAATCAAACTCCTTAAAATTCAACATATTTAGTGCTCGCTTCGGCAGCACATATACTAAAATTGGAACGATACAGAGAAGATTAGCATGGCCCCTGCGCAAGGATGACACGCAAATTCGTGAAGCGTTCCATATTTTTAAAAAAAAAAAAAATTCAACATATTTACTGAGCCTCAGCTGAGCGCTCAGCCTGGTGCAGTTAGGAAGATGAATAAAACACAAGTCTTGCCCTTGAAGAGCTCACAGTCTAGAGCAGATATATATATATATAAAAAAATAAACATGGCATAATGAAAGTCACAGTAGAGGGATAAATTAAGAACAATTAACTCCCCACTCGAGGGGAGGGAATCACAGAAGGTAACATATGACCTGGACCTGGAAAGATAAATAGAGGTTCACTAGGCAGATAAGGATGAGAAGGGAGCTTGCAGGCAGAGGAAACAGCGTGAGCGTGAGACGTGGCGGCCTGAAAATGCTGGAAGTGCTGGACAGTGTCCCGAACCTGTGTGTGCAGCCTGAAGTGGCAGGGGTAGAAGTGGGGAGGTGGGGCTAGGAGATGAAGCAGTTGAAGAGAAAGTGTGAGAGGCAGATTGAGGCAGCCCACTATGGCCCTGCAGGGCAGATGGAGCAGGTTGGATAGATTGCAGGAGGAGTAGCAGAGGGGAGATGAGGGGTCTGCACCACACAGAGGACAGGCTGCTGGCAGACGACCTACACAGAATCAGGTCGTTTTTGAGGTACCAGAAGCAGGTGCTCAGGAGGACCAGCACTAAATGGGGAAAGTCAAGACTGACTAAAAGAGCATGGGTCTGTGTCTGGGCTGAGGAAGGGATGCCCATGCAGCTCTGAGGAGCTGGGAGGCTGGGGTGGGGGCACAGAGCAGCAGCTTCAGGCCCCACTTTGCCCATGGGTCTCCCTGGTACCAGCAAATGGGTGCAGCCTGTGGTCCTCAGTCTCCCTGGGAGTAGTGCTTCAAAAGCAAGCATTATTATGTGCAAAGGGCAAGAGACTGATTTGGGAACTCTGGCGTTGGTGCCTCTGGCAGAGAGGAGGGTCCTGCGCCTGGATGCCGGCGTCCAGGCCCGCGTCCCCGTGCAAGTAACCAAGAATAGGCCCATTGGGACCTGCACAGCCTATCCTGGATTACTTGAATGAGGCCACGGCCTTCGCCAGGGCCTTGGTCCTCCTGCTCTTGGTGCCCGTGGCTTCATTCCCTCAGGAGAAAATTTCTGACCCCAACCCAGGAACCCAAGGGTATCATGACACAGTCAAGGAGGCTGGGAGAACTTAGGGTGGCTCTTGCAAGAATGGGCCAGCAGCAGCTAGCCAGTCATGATCACAGTCACATGGTATGAAGGGTTATTTTCTCTCCTAATTCTTGCCATGCCACTGGGCAGCCTCTCCTCTGTCTCATGGTGAGCGTTTTGTAACACAAGCCAAGCTAATAAATGTGGAAGCCTTAACTGCTTCTCAGATGCAGAGTTAATGCTTTTGCAAATGTTAAATGCCCAAGTGCCTACTGTTTTGGTTCCATGATGGCTTTTAAAAGCATGAAGTGTGGAGACATTAGGGATAAAGCTTCCTTTTCCAGAAACTGCTTCCTAGAAGGACCTGCTGGAGAACAGATAAGAAAGCAGGACAGGGGAGAGAAAGGACTTGAGTGTCAGAAAAAGAGGCCTGGGCCAGGAGACGGGGGACAGAAATTCTCATTTTTGTTCATCCATTATATGGCCTTAAACCAGCGGTTCTCAACCTGTGGGTCGCAACCCACAGGAACTGTATTAAAGGGCCACGGCACTAGGAAGGTTGAGAACCACTGCCTTAAACCAACCCTTTCCCTACATAAGCCTCAATTTCCCCCTTTAGATCATGAGTTGGCCAGACTCCTTGATTTGCAAAGCTTCACTAGCTCTGATACCCTCTACTCAAGAAGCAAAGAGACTACCAACATTGCTAAGGAAAGACAGCCTGCTGCGGCTCAAGTACCAAGAAAGACTCTCCTTTCTGGGGGTATCAGGCCTGATACTCTTCCTTTAAGACCTTGGAGTTGACAAGGAAGATGGTTAGATCACTCCTGTGAAAAACCAGACAAAAGTTCCCCTCCTTCAACCTCCAAGGCTAGTTTCCCTACAATGTTTCCAGTATGTTCATAAATGAAGCTATTTCTGGAAGAGCTTTATGCAGATAAGGAAAAAAATCAGAAAGAGCGAAGACGCCAACTGACTACAGCATCTTTATTCATAGCAGCCTGCTGATCCAGCCCTTCCCCCCTTTTCTTTTGGGTTGAATATTTGCTAAAGATGCACTGGC